TGCGGGTTTCCTCCAGGGCGGTGTCTCCTAGTGCTGTGCGGGTTTCCTCCAGGGCGGTGTCTCCTAGTGCTGTGCGGGTTTCCTCCAGGGCGGTGTCTCCTAGTGCTGTGCGGGTTTCCTGTGTGACAGTTCCAGACAGTCCATGCTTTTGCTGAATTTGGAGGGAGCAAAAATGTAGACTGTCTAGCAGGAAGCTGGGAGGTAGCAAAAATGTGGACTGTCTGGGGGCCCCGAGGAGCAGATTGGAGAACACAGCTCTGGGGGCTCCTCCTGCGATTCATGGCTAATTAGTGTCTCTAAACTGCCTCTAGTGTATATGGCCTGTAATGTATTGGCATCCCATGCAGGGTGTACCCCATCCTTGTGCTCTATGCTGTCTGGAACAGGTGACCCTAACCAAGATTAACAGTTGAAAGATGTAAATCAGTATAATGAATTTTTCACCCCTTTAATTGTCCATGGAATAAATCACCCTAAAATGACAAGGGCTCTCCTTGGTATAGGAAAATATTGGGATTATAAAGTACTGTAAAGTATCAGTACTGAGGATACTGCCCCTCCACAATGGAAGACGTGTTTCTTGCACTAGTGAGGCTTTAATTTCCTGTTGAGGACAAGGCAGTGGCAAAGATTTAGTCTAAGGCCATGTTTCCCAATCTGGTCCTAGGGGACCCACTGTCCTAGGGGACCCACTGTCAGTCCATGTTTTTACTCCCTCCAAGCTCCCTGCCAGACACGTACCTCCAATCTAGTCAGACAGATAGTTAATTCAAAACCAATACTTTGACCTACATCACTTTTCTTAATCAGAACAAAATGAAAAAGCACCACCCCCACCCTCACAGAAGCACATGCTTGAGTTAAAGGAAATGTGTTTTAAGTTTAATGAACAACCATGCTCTGTCTTTAAGACGCACAATGGGGGTGGGGCGATATTTTTCAGAAACACAGAGCAGATTCACAGGACCTAAAAAATACTCACGCACAATGAATCTGTGTTCGAAAACATTGGTCGACGTAAAAACATCCTACAAAATATCCCACCGTTCCCCAAATGTTTAACTTCACTCGAGAGACTTTGTTATGGTTGCATTGGTTTGTTCAAAAGTGTGTCACCCATTTTCTACCTGGACTCATTTGAAATTAAAGTTGATGTACATCAACTCCAGTAAAAGCGCTACCCACCCATCCCATTTAACAATTTGCTTTGGAATCTTACAACTTTTAAAGGCTTCTACTGGAAGAGCTACTGAATCTGACCTTTGCGATACATAATGTAATTGGTAGGTGGCCTTAGAGTGCTTGCAGCACAAACCTTGAATACTTCCAGAACAATGTTTATTCTTTAAAAGTTATTTTAGCCACTCTGCAGTTGTTCAAGTGTTTCACCGGACAATGTAGCACACATATTTGTCCAGGGAAGCATCCAAAGAATACAACTTTACACTTATTTATACTGGACATATTTTACTGAACCAGTTCTGACTTGGTGCCAAACTAGAGTATGACTAAGATACAGAACATCCAGGAAACCAAGGTGCCAGTTGTTTTGTCACAAGTCCAAATTACACTGCTAATGCTCTTAGTACCTTTTAGCATGAGCTGACGACCTGTCATTCAAAAGCATAGATACCAGATGTCTTTCAATTGTTTCTCACAGTGGAAAAAAGTGTTTGCTGACAGAATTCCAACATACAAAAGAGGTGTGCAAATAAATCCTGACCAGTGAAAGTTGCTCAGGGATGACCAAGGGCAGTACAGCGAGGTTTGAGTCTTCAGCCTGTGCTGACACAAGACTAAGATCTTTTGAGAAGCTATTTTCTTCCTTCTAGCGGATGCTTTGGTCCAAGTTGACATACAACTGTGACCTGGGCTCAGAGCCCAACAGCGGTAAGATTACTTTATCAGTCAGGCGATTTCAATGCACAACTTCAGAGATGTCAAGTGACAGTGCTACCCAACGGGCCACAGCGCCATTACTCAGGTAACGCATTTTACACCTATTAAATCCCGAGGAACTTGTGAGAACACTTTTGTTTACTTTCATCACAGCAGGTTTATATAACCCTTTTCAATGGCGCGGATCTGCGTGGTTATGTAACCAGATGGAGGGAAACACTAAGCAGTGTTTGCATTCACAACACAGAGAGCCACTGTTCACCCTGACAAACAGCACAAACTGCTTCACCTGTATCTCACGCCCATGTGCACGACGAATGGTTCTCCATGCAATCCTGCTCCCTAGCTGGTATCTGGCTCTTTCTAGCCCATACCTGTCTAATCCCTCAGTGTTACAGCATCAGAGAGCCCCCCCACCCCCACTGCAAATTTACAAGCTCGACCGATTTACGCAAAGCAGAGGGCCTGTGGACTGAGATGAACTCATATCTGGAAGAAGGTTAACTGTCAGACCCTGCTGTTACCTTTGGGTGTCTGGATGGATTTAAAGATAAATCCTTTTCCATATTAAAGCTCCTTTATGAATAATCAAGCGAAAAGGCCAAAAGTCAGTCAAAACATCTGGTTAATCACAGCAATTCAACACAGTGCACCCGTCTTCTCATGTTCTCTTTTTTTAATCTTAATCTTCAAATAGTTTAAGTGACTGCTGCTTGTATGTAAAGCTCAGACATATTATAAACAGAAAAATTAACCAATTTTTTTGGAAAACAACACATTTCAAAATCTCTCAAAATTACACAACCTTACCAAAATGCTGTTCAAACAGAAAACAAACAAACAAAACCCTAAGAGACAGTTTACATTTCTGAAGTACGGTTCTTGGTCAAGCTACAGTGAAATTCTTCTGTGTTTAAGAAGCGTGGGAAAATTACCATATGTCTGTATCTTAAAGGGCAAGATGTCCTTCATTGCAGCTAGTTTGGTATTCTCTCAGATTTTGGACACACTAGGACCATGTAAATACCCCTCGTCAGTTACTACACTATGGCAGAACTTGACGGCAAAGCTGTATACAAAGATTTATTTTTTTTTAAAACAAACAGAAGAATTCATTGTGTGACAAAGAGGACATCATGAGTCAGACATACAGTAATGTGTGACTCACAATCTGATCTGTCAGAACTTGTTCCTAATCAACAGACTTATATTAACTACTAAAGCTTTAACACTTTCAAGTGTGTTCCCCAAATATACAGAACAAATTAAAGGGTAATTCTATCCAAAAAAAAAACACACACGAGCACGAAGGGCATTTTCTAGACAATGTTACAAAGTTATGCATGCGCCATGAAAAAGAATTTGCAGATTTCTCTAAAAACCTTCACCATGTCACACACAGATACATCTGCTCCTGTTAATATTTTCATTAGCAAAAAATGACTCTCACTTGCTGTCCACATTGTTAGCATTGTTTATTTTTACATTTTTCTCATTGTCAGCCCCTGCCTTGCATTGTTTACTGCATTTACACATATAACCTCTTTCAAAACCAATACTCCAGCATTTTGGTATTTTAACTGAAACACACAGCCCTCCAATACATAATTCTAATTTTGCATCCCCAATTCACCCAGAATTTTTGGTGCTATGAAAAGGTAAGATGGTCCATGACCACAGACTTTGCTAGGAACTGTATTCCAAGTGCCAGATGCTGATTATTACCCAAACATCATAAAATTGTATGAGATCACTTTGTGGGTTTAGGGACCTTGGTGGTACAATATTAGGGGAACTTCCTGATGCCTAACACCCCCACTGGAAGCAAACCTATGGTAGATCTGCATGAGAACTTCCAGCCACTCGTCATTTTTTCAAGTGTTTCACCAGACAATCTAGTTAAACTAACCAACTGGAACAGGTGTGCTGAACATAAATACATGGAATGACCGATGCTATTTAAAAGGAGGCTTGAGGAGCCATCAAACTCTACCTTGTCTGTTCCTGTAGTATAAGATGGGGCTCCACAAAGAACTTGACTCGTAGCCTCAGTCTGCATGGAGTCAAGCAATCCATCTGCTGGGAGATCCTGTTTCTGAGATTCAGCCACAAGCTTTCCCCTTTGCAACCCGTGTACTGCAGTCCAAAGTAATCCACTTCTATGATTCCCAATTTCCCACAAACCTGACAAACACACGACACAACACTCAATATGTACCTGGAAGCAATCAAGGATTCACAGAGGGGGTTAAATGAAACAGATGTGGTTCAGTTTAACTATGACCAATAAAGATACACAGTGCCTGGTCTTTAATATCAAAATTAGTACCCCTAACCCCTTCCTATGCATTTATGCCAAGTGCAAAGAAGATGTGCTATTTCAACAGTAAAACCTATTACCTTTTTTCGTGTTTGAAATGTACGCCAGCAACTAATTACGGACAGAAAGTGGGCTTAAAGCACTTCTTCCCCACTGCGATGCATCTAATCGGCTCTTGCAATGGAATATTATGTAAGCGGTTGAGTGCCGCCCGACGGGGCCCGAGCTGTGAATGATATCCCACTGGATCGCGGAGCTACTATCACACAAACAGTCCGCTTCATCATGCACAAATACTCGCTTCAATTGGTAAATATGCCTTATATTTAATTATTAAATATGTGATGCATGCGACCGGCTTCAGATTTGTACTATATGTTTCAGCCAGAACAATTTTTACCCATTCTGTTGGTAGCAAATGTAAACATAGAAAATGAAACAACCAATAATTCTACTGATGTACAATAATTAATAGTGACGACTACATGAGTAGCTGAATCGAACATTTTACAAGTTCAAACAGTTAAATCGGAGCCCGGAATCGTTTATTTCAAAATAAATTAAACCCATCCACTTTCCGATTAATCCAAAACATTGTTATCTTATGCATTTCATGTCCAACTAAGGGGATACTAACTCTAAGTGTAACGTCTACTTTTATCATGGATAAAATAACCAACTTGGCACCTTCGCCATGATTTACGGAAACGTACGTATGAATCTCCAGCTGCTGCATTTCAGCCCGCCGCTATGTGCCCGATCGGCTCATCCAGCGGTGGCATTAACACAGTTTCGGTCATACGGTACCTTAGTCAAACAATCTTCACCATTTGCCTTCGCCTTCACCTCCACCTCCATCACAACCGAATCCGGTCGGCTGACATGGCAAAGCATTTTCTGGCCTTTTAAATTATTTATCTCTGGCCTGTCGATCCTTCACGGATAATGACAAACTTTACCCTCGCCCCCTTCTTATTAAAACCCCGCATCCGACCACCTTATTTAAACTTCCCACAGCTCCTTTCTGTCCAGCGTTTATCTCTGCCGGTTGCGTTCCAGACGCGGCAATTTGAAGACCAGAGTCTCCCCCTCCTTCGCAAAACGTCAGCTAGTCCTGCCACTGATTTTTTCTGCTTTACAAAAAAATACAGTAGCCTATGTATGATACAAAAAAGAAAATTGTAACTGGAGCCCTCTTCTGGTTGCTGTGGAAACTGAATCAGGCTTCATTTCCAAAAAACGTAAATAAAAACATGCATTCATGCCTTTTCGAAAATGAGACGATCAGGCCACTGTGACTTCGAAAGCATAAACCGGCACATTAAAAAATGTATCATCACGATGACTTGCAATAGTAACAAAAGAAAACTGTAAAAAGGTAACGTAAGACCAAGCATTTTGCAAATCGTTTTATGTTAATATATTTTGCATTCACATTTTGGCATTGCCTGCGTCATGAAAAATCCTGCCCGAAAGACTCTGGTGTAAATGATTATTCTTAAGCAATGTTAACCCTATTTGTTGAATTTAAATCACCCGCTGATAAATATGAAAGAAATATATGGAGGCTAAATTGATTTTATAAGATCATTCAGTCTATGAATTAATGCAATACATTTGCTCTGATTTGGGGGGGGGGGGTTATCGTTTCCATGCATCATTCAAATATTAATTAGAAAGTATATTGTAATGTGCCATTTGTATTCCGGACGGCCGTATAGAGAAGTTTACAAGCCCTGGGCCGCTGACAGCGCGAGTCACATGTGAAGGAAGCAGGAAGTAAACGGGGGGTCAGAGCGCTGCGCAGGGACGGGCATGGAGCGGAGCGCCGGAGCCCTGAGTGGGGCTGTCTGAAACCGCCACAGCGCCTTTTCTCCCTGGGATGATTGCGTTGGGGACTTGAGGGTCAGCTGCACGGTAGAAATCCGAGAAATAAGGCGAAACATGTTTGGAAATTTCAGGGAGAGGCTCCAGACGGTGCAGCAGGACTTCACCACCGGGTTCGTACACGGATCGGTTTCGGTTTGTCCCCTAAATATTGTCGCCCTTTTCCGCATCTGCAATAGTGCAATAACGTAACAGATCCATGGTTACTTGCCGATGAACATTTTGGAGTTTATATGTGTGACTGCTTTTTTGCGATGCGAGCTTGGCAAAATGCTGCGGTTTGGCATAAGAGAGTTCATGTGTTGTTTACATGTAACTATTCGCTAAAAAAAAATAAAAAAAAAGTTGAGCCGTAAAGATGTTATTATGTGAGTCCGTTAAAGTTAATGTTTAAAAAACAAGGACTAGAAATAGCTATTGTGTGTAAACAGCATACTTCGAAGTCCTTGTAATCACTTTCCAGTGACTGTCATGTGACGCGTAGGAGGGGAAAGCGGCAGCCAAACTCATGCTTTCACTGTTTCATAGTTTGCTAGCGGTCATTGGCATTTCATCGTTTTTAACTCTCACGTATCTGGTGTGACACTCTCGTTCATACTCACGCTCACGTAAGAAAGCTTACGGCATATATATATTATTCCGCTATAAACCTGAAATTAGCTACACCAAAAGCGTTGTGTTAGTTTGCAAACCCTACAGACCAGGGGTCTCCAACTCCGGTCCCGGAGAGCTACTGTCCAGTAGGTTTTCTATCCTACCTGGCTTCTGATGAACCACACTAGTTCTCAGGTAAATACCAGGAACAGGTGTGGCTCATCAGAAGCCAGGCAGGATAGAAAACTTACTGGAAAGTATCTCTCCAGGATCGGAGTTGGAGACCCCTGCTACAGACTATTTGCAAGGAGATGAAGCTGTTACACACATGGAAATGCGTGTGCAGACTTGTCGCGAACTGAAAATATCTCTCCAGTCAGATGACCAAAGTTGGCAACCCTTACTCTGACTGCGGTGTTTTCGAAATAGATTAATCTACAGCCTACACCCAGTGGCCACTACACCTGATTGTTAAATCAAACGGTCCGCTCTTAAAAACAGTGAATCGAGTAGCTGTGCATACAGTTCACAGACAGGGTGAAGAGGTTCACTTACTGACACTGTGCATCTGCAATACAACAGATAAGATGCCTGATCTAAGCAGGTTTCACACGCCTACGGTGTCTATGGAGAGTGTTGTGATGTACCAAAGCATCCAATCAGCAGCAGCTCTGTAGCAGAAAACACCTTGGTAAAGCTAACAGGAAGGCTGCCAGCGCAGGAATAATAGCTCAATTCAACGGTGGTGTACAAAAATGCCTCTGCATACACAAATCATCCATCCTTGAGGCATTTCTGCTGATAAAGGCTAGATCTTACCTGGTACTACATAGGTTAACCTGCTGTGACCAATGAGTGTATATATTTTTTATATATTTGGGGCAATGTAAAGGATGCAATATCTAGGTCACATAAACTAAGACATGAGGCATAGTCAATAAGTTTATAGAGCTTAGTGTATGTATAATGTGTTATAGACGAGTTGAATCATGTATAAGGTTATGTCTTGTATATGTCTTGTTTTTTCGCTAGTGGAATTAATGCATGCTGGCAGGAGATTATAAATGTATGAGAATGTGTCAGTCACACAGTCACAAATCGTTTTCAGGATAAGGACACTGAGTGACAAATCAAAGGAGGTGAAGCGAAAGAAAAATCAAAGGTATTTTTTTCCCGGCTAATTGGGGTTTGCATGCTAAGGGATCTTATCCCGTAAAATGGTTCCATCAGTCTCATGTTGCAATATTTTTGCTCTTTTTGCAGGAGTGGGGAGAATTTCACACAGTTTACAGCTGGATTGGAAATACTTCGCCGGTATGCAGAAATTTTGAATTTTTCTGCTCTTAGATGTGAAAAGTAAAACAAGCTGATATAGCTAAAAATGGATGTACCCATTTATTTGTCCACTACATATATTTGTAATGGTAAGTTGGGCATGGAATATGCATGAGTGTGTCCTGTGATAGGCTGGCATCGCATCTAGGTTGTCCCCTGTCTTGTGCCCTGTGCATGCTGGGATTGGCCTCCCAGTGACCCTTACTAGATGATTGCTTGGATGGACAGTTGGAGTTTTTCTATAATAAATGTATAAATGGATGCCTTGGTGCCTGAGTGAGTTGCTTTCGGTGGGAGTCCATATGGCCATGTCTCTGGCTGCATGTGACGGCTGTATCTATATGAACACGTACATTAATACAGCGACTCTTATTTAACGCCCCAACATGGGAACAGCAGCAGTGACCTTGTTTCTGTTGCTGCTGTGCAGGTATGAAGACACCTGGGTGAACCTCCATAAACAAGGGAGAGAATGTGCAAAATCCGGAGAGGTACGTGTTATTTAAAAAAAATAAAAAATCATCAATCACACATGACCAGAATACTTATCCTTAAGTCGATCAAATTAAAAAACCTAAACTGTGTACAATGTGTTTATGACCAGGAATGGGAAGTTCATTTTAAGACAAATTCATCTTAGCCTAGTTTTATTTCCATATTTTTGGGTCTTTGTCAAATCAATGGTGTTTGTAAGAACTTCCTGAAGTGAACCACATGGTATTGACGACACATTCATCTTTGAGTGCGGTGTTGTGGTCAGACATGCTTTTAGTACATGCTTTGTGTTAGGCTCTGCTGGGGCATGCATTAAGATTCATTTGTGGTGCAAAACAGTTTTGGCTAATGCATTGCATCGGGTGCATGCAGCGATGCGCAGTGAATCTGGCATTAGTTGCATTGATGTATTGATAATGTGTAGTAACTAGTTTACTAATGCAAGCATCGGTTGATTAAGTACACAGTGGTGGTCAGAATCATGGAGGTCAATCTTTTCATTTTAATGATGTTGAGAGACCGTGCAGGAAGTGGACAAAGAAATGTCAAAACAGTTTCATTGTGGGTGTCATCGATGTAGTGAGCAGGGACCAGAGGTGACCGTTCCATCACTCACTGGGAATGTCACACTTTCCTCACAAAGAAATCCTTTTTGTCTGTGATTCTCAGCTATAGGGCTATTTGAAAACCATAGAAAAATTATGAAATTGCTAAAGCTAGAGTTGTACAGTGGTAACCTATATCTGTTTTTTGCGGTATATCAATATTTTTTTCAAAACAAGATAGGATGACACAGTACCATTTGTATCAGTCTGTTTTAATTGTGCATTAAATTTTTTATTTTTTAAAAATATTTAATAGAAACCAATAGTATTCCTTCCTGGTTGTAAACGGTGCCAGAGCTTCGGACGTGACATTACAGACTCACAGGATCCACAGCTAAAATCAAACCAATTCAGTCAGTGTATCACTGGAGAGCTGAGGCGAAGAATCAATGTTACTTTGTTAATTTCATTAAAACATTGCTAAAAATAAAGTAATTTGCAAAATCTTTTATTTTGTTTAAGGATAAAATGAGGGTCTTTTCAGTTATTAAATGCACGTTCAATGGTTGTCAGGCTTCTGATTATAGAGCCATTTGCCAAGTAGGGTTTAGATTAAATTTTTTGTTCATAAACATTCACCTTTTGTTTTGAGAGCAATATCATAAACTATCAAAAAAAGTGTTGGTGCACATAGTGGAGTGAAACCTTGTCTGAGTCACGTTCAAAAGAAATGACATGGTTTGGCAGTATAACCAAATTAAAATGTTTATATTAATTAAAACTGGCAATTTTTGTGATCACTGCAGAGAAACAAACAAAGAGAACAATATCATAATCTGTTTAGGGGTCCAAACAGGGTTGTCCTTGAATAAAAACCACTAAGAACCACTGATGTACGTCTCGCCTGTTCAGCAGATGTCGAAATTATTTGTTCTTGGTGCCTCTCCAGAAAGGTCTTTCCATGCTTTATTAGACTAATGTGTTGCAACCTTGTAGACTCTATTACTTTAGGTATGTGATGCACAGTAATGTTTTGGGTGCCAGTGTAATAAGTTGGGTCAATTTCAATTTACTGTGAACGTTTGAACACAAGCCATGACCCAGAATGCAGTGGTGCTACAGGAACGTTTGAACACAAGCCATGACCCAGAATGCAGTGGTGCTACAGGAACGTTTGAACACAAGCCATGACCCAGAATGCAGTGGTGCTACAGGAACGTGCAATGATACATGTCATCTCCAATCATCTGGCTCTGTTTGTAGACACAACTCAGTGGTGATGTCTCGCTGTCTTTCACATGCCAGCTTTTGTTGGTCTTATGTGACTTCTTGGTTATTCTTTGAAGCTGGACTTAGAATGCAGTAAGATTCCTGTATTTCAAATGTGAATAATTTTTATATACTATATGGTGCCTCTCACCTCCAGAAGGATGCTGTGTTGGTGAAATATAACAACTGACTTAATTTCTCTTAATTACTCAAGAGCTTGCATAACCATGTGTGGGCAGAGCCTAATCTGTTATCTTATTGGAGTTTTACTTACAGAAAAACGTTCTGAGGGCAAAAAGAAAAATGATTGGTTGAGAGAGAGGTGATTCCGAGCGACTAGAGGAAGGGGAACCAACCAATCAGATGTCTTGGTCTCACCTCTTCAAGTTGCTGCAGTCTGATTGATTATCTCTCTGGACCAATCATGGTGGTGTGATCATAGGCTTTCAGAATAAGCAGGCTCCTTCTAGCCAAGCAGTTCCCTTAATCTGCAAGTTTAGCCCCCATCCATTCCTAACAAAGTTACTTGTTATTACTTGATATTCCGTCACCTTTGAGAGCTGATAGGGATGCCGGTTACTCCTGATATGAACTCAGAGCCCTGGTATGTGGGCCTTGGTCCCCTTTTTGTCCATTACAGGGTGCTGAAGAGTTGTAGTCGTCAGGGCCAGCCTGTAACCCAGGGAACATGGTGCGGAAGCAGCCTGGTTTTGGCTGTAGTCTCTCACAGTAGTGCCTCAAATGACCTGTGGCAGCCATGTGTAAAATGTATGAGCACGCAAGCAGTGTCCCTATAGTATGTGAAAGCTAAATACTTGCATGCAGAGCTTGCCATCCGGAACTTATGTAGAATATCCTTGTTAACTTCTGCTAAGGTGGGACGGCACGGTAGTGCAGAGGTTAGCACTGTGGGGCGACATGGTAGTGCAGTGGTTAGCACTGTTGCCTCACACCTCTGAGACCTGGGTTAGAGTTTCTGCCAGGGTTCCATGCGTGTGGATTTTGCATGTTCTCCCCGTGTCATTGTGGGCATTCCTCCAGGTACCCCGGTTTCCCTCCACAGTACAAAAACATACTGAGGCTAATTGGAGTTACCAAATTGCCTGTAGGTGTGTCTGTGTGAGTTTGCCTTCCGATGGGTTGGCGCCCCATCCTGGGTTGTTCCTTGCCTTGCACCTGTAGCCTCTGGGATGGGCTCCGGGCACCACATGACCCTGAATAGGATCATAACCCTGAATAAGCGGTTGCAGAAAATGGATGCACTTCCGCTAAGGTTGCGCTCTATGCTTTGATTTCTTCCTCTCTGCCTGGGTGCCGTTTACACACCCGGACAGGAGAGGGAGCAGCTCTGATATGTCATGGTGAACGTTCTTCACCGTGCTCTTTTTCAAATCCCTTTTTTTGTCCATCTCGGGTGAAGTTCTTGATTTTACTCCTGTCTGTGTTAACACAGGTCAGAGCTGTCGATAAGCTTCAAATTGATAGATGCTTTTATTCTGGTTTACAGCCAGGCTCCCTCAATGTACAGGACATGCTGAGTCTTCTACACCGAGGCCTGAGTCCAGCTTTTCTGGCCCTGCTTGTTTGTGTTGCTCTGTTTAAATGTACAAGTAACAAGTAACAAGTACATGTTCAATTTATGCAGATAATGGGTCCTGGACCAAAATATATCCTGCAAACCAATCCCTGCAAAACTCTTCTGCCAAACAAACAAATACATACATTCTGTGCCCAAAGCAATAAAAAAAAAAACTACTAATGGATGGATGAAAAAAGGAGACTGAACAGTCATCTCTAAAAGGGGCAACATGGGTCTGTTGTCCAGCCATGGTTCATTGAACAAATGAACTTTGTTTTTCCAATTATATTTCTGTTATAGATAAGAAAATGCTGTTGTGTCAGAATGGACAGGCTTACATGTTGGGTAAGAAAACAGTGTTTTGTGTTTTCTTATTTTTGACACTTATTTTATGTTATGGTTTTAATGAATAAAAGTAGTTACTGCAACTCATTTGTCTAAGTTGTTTGACTAAATGGATTATTGCTGGATTTATTGTTTTAATATTTTGCTTTTAAATATGAATATCAATGCTGGCTTTTTAAAGACATGTTGAAGGTTTATTGATAGGAAATGTGAGATGCCTTGCGGTTTTGGCTAAGATATGGACTCGTTATTCCCCATGTAGAAGGTTATGCATCTGTTTTACTTCCACGGAATCTATTCATTCAGTTTGTCAGTATTTTTTCACGAGAGATAAAGTGAATGATATACTGATAAAGTGAATGATATACTCGGTGGGTTTGGGCAGCACCTTTCACGGAGATACGTTAAGAAAGATACAGAGTTAAGTTTGAGTAGCGTGTAATGCTGCTTCACTGGTTTTGTTTATGCTTCCAGTTTGGTCTGTCTGTGTAGCTAGTGGGCTTCTAATGATGGTTGCTGGCTCATGTCCCAGCAGGGGCCGCTCTCTTTCATACCCTTGAGGAAGGTAACTAACATGATTTACTCCTATAAAATGTCCAGTGGAATGAATGAATAGCAATTCCTGGTGACTGAAGAGCCAAAGCATTAGCTAACCATCTGCGAGTACTGTAACGGAATGTATTTGAAAGGAAAGGAAAAGATATGGAAACGGTTAGACTCATGTCTCAGTTTTCCCAGCCCTGGCAGCACTCCATATGGGGGGGTTAACAATGTGAACCACTATGATCATATGCATGTAAAAATTAAATTAGGACCGCTAGGTTTTTTTTGGGGGGTGCACACAGGAGATATTTTATGGTAATTATCTCTGTGTTTGCAAGTACAGATGTATGGCACTGTCAGCTGCTGCACCAGTCTAAGGCGTATCGCTTGCCATGCTTCTAATAATACTTTGCATGGGATTATTTGTATTAGTGTTGAGTGCAAAATGCTATAATTGCATCAAGCCATCCATGAGCACAGAGGCACTTTATCTGGCGGTTCCTGCACCAAGTGCATGTTTGGCATCTGAGCGGCCGCCGTTCCCGTCACGCGATTATCATGCGATGCAGCATCCAGAAATGCGACATGTCTGCAGAGCTTCACCTAGGCTAATTTCCAAAAAACTCGATTTAAAGGCTCCACCAGGGTGTCCTGCTGTCTTAAAAAAAATCATGTTTTTGATGGTCTGTCATACTTAATGCTTAGTCCGTCGATGGGGTTCACTGCAATAAAGCTAGCAGTGTGAATGTGGTCTGTGAATGTCGTTTCTCTTGAGCTGTGTCCCCAAAGCTGCTTCACTGTAGCTCATGATTGGTAAGAATTAGAATATTTTTATTGTCCTTATATATGTCCAAGGAAACAGTGTGTGCTTCCCACCGGTGCTACATGTTATAAAAGATAAATTAAATAGAAAATTAAATTAAAAATAATATACACAATTCATCAGCTGTGGTGCCTGTAATTAAAAGGACTCTCTCCGTCTGTGCATGGTGCCTGCTTGTTTGCTGCTTTAGCTCACAGTTGCTACCTAGGGCCAGTTTTGAACTTTCAGCAGTCAGGGACACAGTTGGAGAAGCTGGTCACAGGGGGCTTCTGCTGCAAACCTTAAATCACAGAAACCATGGGGAAAATTCATCAGCATGTTGGAGAGCTGGGGAGTTGAGGGAATCATCTGATTACACGAGGTGTGTCTCCCGGTGCTTGGCAGGTGGCGGATGGGGAGGTGGTGATGCTGGCTGCCCACTGGGAGAAGAGAAGGTCCACTTTGGGGCAGCTTCAGGAGCAGCTGCGGCAGATCCCGGCGTTCCTGGCTGAGATGGAGTCTGTCACCACCCGCATTGGTGAGGCTCCTGCACTTTCTGCTTTGACTTTTTCCTCTCTCTGAAATGGACGCCTTCCTCCAGAGTGTTTCCTGCTTCTACATTGATTCATAATCAGAGTGACTGAGTGCCCTTGGAGTTACCCTCGCCTCCCACTTGTTCGTGAGAATTCCTGTCATTGCTGCAGGGAACGCCGGAAGCATGTCAGTAACAGCATTGATTTTTGTAGTTTTTGGTCTTATTTGTCCTGGCTATTAACTTTCTAATAAGGACAGTCTCAGCGATTTTTCAATATTTAGTTATAATGGCAATAAATAGGTTTGAGAAAATTGAATAAAACGGTGCAGGACTTTTGTTTTCGCTTAAAGACTGAGTAGCACTCAGGTCGGCAGAATGCATCTGTATTTTATTACTTCGTGTGAATGTCTAATTCCACCTGCCAGAAATGGGATAAATCACACGTCAGAGGCCTGTGGACTCGGTAAAATGCAGGGAAGCAATAAAAAAGGCCAATAGGATGTTGGGGTATATCTCCAGGTGTGTGGAGTTTAAGTCAAGGGAGGTAATGCTAAGATTATACAATTCCTTGGTGAGACCTCACCTAGAATATTGTGTGCAGGTTTGGTCACCATATCTTAAAAAGGACATTGCGGCCTTAGAAAAGGTGCAGCGTAGGGCCACAAGAATGATTCCTGGTCTTAGAGGAATGTCATACGAGGAAAGGTTAGTTGAGCTAAATCTGTTCAGCCTCAAGCAAAGGAGACTGAGGGGGGACATGATCCAGGTCTATAAAATTTTAACAGGTTTGGATGCTGTTCAACCGAATAGTTACTTCAGCATTAGTTCAAATACAAGAACTCGTGGCCATAGGTGGAAATTAGCGGGAGAACATTTCAAACTGGATTTAAGGAAGCACTTCTTTACACAGCGTGTAGTCAGAGTATGGAATAGTCTTCCTGATAATGTAGTGCAAGCTGAATCCTTGGGTTCCTTTAAATCAGAGCTGCTGTAGATAAGATTTTAACAACTCTGAGCTATTAGTTAAGTTCTCCCCAAGCGAGCTCGATGGGCCGAAAGGCTTCCTCTCGTTTGTATAGTTCTTATGTTCTAAAAAAAAAAAAAAAAAGGTTCCTGTTGGCCATTTTGTTGCCCGGCAGTTGCTGAAAATAGCAGAGTATTCACTGCACTGTTCTTGAATTTCCGACTTGAAATTCCCACTGCCTGTTCAGTGCAGCTGGAGCACAGGTATGTGTGCACTGCTTAAATGTGCTCACTGTCATTAAATATGGGAATATTAAAGAAAATGTGACTTTTAGCATGCAGTTAAATAACAACACTCAGTGCAGCAATGCTGGTTTATGATTCCCATCCATCCATCCATCTTCTGTACCTACCCACAGGGGTCCAAACCCTAACCCCAGAATCTCTTTGTACAGGGCAGGCAGTGGCCAGAGTGGCGCACACATTTATGATTCAGTTTTCTGTGGTACTAAATAAAAAAAAATGCACCACTTTCTATTAAAATACCCAGTAGATATGGCAAGTAAAAAATATATGTAATTTTCCAGAAATATATATATATATATATATATATATATATATATATATATTTTTTTATTTTTTTTTCTTGCCCCCCCACACCTCCTGTACTTTTAATATTCTAATTGACAATTTGTTTACTAGTTTAACAGTTTCTGATTTACCAGTGCCAAACCAGGGTTAGCTTTGTGAAATTCCCACTAGGTGGCAGCATCTCCCTCATTTTAATAAAAAGAGTGAACGTCTCATAACTACTGTATGCATCAAGGCTGGCCCTGTGCATTCTGGGTAAAATGCTTAAGAAGGATGAATTATCTTCATTAAAACAAGTACATCATTACTAAAATGTTAACCTTCATTTGTAGAAAAAAGCGAAGTGTTCATACTCATTTTGGTTCCTTTTAAATTTGTCACACGTGATGCACTTTTGCCTTCGTAAAAGACTTTGGAGGGATGTGTTCTTATTGAGAATCTATTTTCCTAATGGTGCACTGATGTGGAAATTTTAACTGATCCTGGTAACTGATTTTTTTCTTTTTTTTTTTCGTTTAATATCGCCTATACTGATAACAGCCTAACCTCAGCCTCTTGCTGAGTCGAGAGCGCGAGGGCAGGTGGCGATGAAACTTACTGAGCTTGCTAGCGTACATTAGCATTTTTTATTTTATTTAATTTTTATTAAAGGAACAATCAGTCTGTGGGCCAGATTTTATAATTAAAAACATGTTGCGGGCCATAGAAAAACTGACGAAATCCCTCATCCTCCAACACGAAAAATGTCTGATTGTCCAATGCAATCATCTACATTATTATAGTAATTATCTCTTTAGCTCTGGTGCTGCTAACTTTGAATATTGATAAAGATTAACTACCAAGCAGAAATATGACAAGATCGACACACTGGACCAGTGCCAATATCCTGATTTTTTTTTTTTTTAAGGAATATTGGCCAATACTGATATGTTAGTGATATAGCGTGCATCTCTGTTTCCTCTGTCCTTGATCATAGTGTTACCTCCTTGTGAACTGAAGCTCACCTAGCTGTCACTCACCATTGTTCCCTGACTTTTAGGTATCGGCTTGTCTTTGCTGCAAGTCCTCCCTGAGTTCGTCATACCTGTTTTGTGTGGATCCACTCAAGGCTTAAAGTGCCATTTCTCTGTCTTGTGGGTTTTCTGCCCCCGCTTCGGATGTGAGCCAGAGCAGAGAGCTCTGGCTGTCGGGGAAACGGGAAGAACACGGTGCCCTAACAGCGTTGCGAAAAGGTTCTTCATGCTCCAGCAGTCGTGGGAGATTGGGGCCCCGGAAACAGGGAGGGAGTCTTGTGGATATCAGTGCCCTCAGACCTCCTGTGGTGACAGACCTGCCATTTCCCCCCTCCCTGTTTTCAAAGGCGAACGTGTTTATTTTTACAGGGTGGTCTGGAACGTGATGTCATATCCAGAATCGATCTTTCGGCACTCAAAAGGAAAACATTATTCATAGGAAATTAGGCCTAATCCAGCTGGGTCTCATTTATCTGACTGACATAAAAGGTTTAAAAACACTTCAAACATGCTTTCTACATTAGAATTTGGTAGTTATAGCTTTAAAACGATTTCACTGAGGGCAGTGGTGCCTGTGATTGGTCTCCTGGAGCTATGTACCTGCCTGTGATTGGTCTCCTGGAGCTATGTACCTGCCTGTGATTGGTCTCCTGGAGCTATGTACCTACCCCTGCGTCTCTGTGTTTGTGACGTTTATTGAAAGGCCCCGTCCACACTTGTGGCATGTTCCTCTGCTTTCTCCCACAGCACAGCTGGAGGCTGACTTCGAGGAGATGGATAGTCACCTCGTGCACCTGGAAGACCTGTGTGTTCAGTGTGAACAGCAGCGCCGCAAACAGTACCATGTGCTGCAGCTGGAGAACTACAAGAAGAAGAAGAGGTACCTCAGCCTGACTTCAGTCACAGTCATGTTGTTTTTCAGCTGTGCCTCGAAGGGTCGGTTTGCAGGAACTGCCTGTCCACTAGGGGGCGAGCTGGTCTAGCCATCTCTTGTGCCTGGAAGCACAGGACACACAAAAGACCCTGATCCGTGACAGGTACACACTGAAATGCACAGTAGTATGAATCGGTCGCCTCTACCTGGACAGCATGGTTTTGGACTGTGTACACCAGTGTCTCCAACTCTGCTCCTGGAGAGCTTCTGTCCAGTAGGTTTTCTATTCTACCTGGCTTCTCAGGAGCCACACCTGTTCCTGGTATTTACATGAAAACAGGTGTGGCTCACCAGAAGCTAGGAAGGATAGAAAACCTACTGGACAGTAGCTCTCCGGGACCAGAGTTGGAGACCCCAGGTGTAAAGAGACCCGTGCAAATGCACAGAACAGAAGCCACTGTCAGAGCCACACCACTGGAGATCAGATGTGAACAGCGCCACCTCCCTACCTCTTGTCACTGTACAGTTTAGCCTGTATGTTAGCACTGATCCTTGTGACTGGAGATGATGACATGACTGTCAGATGTGCAGTATTTCACTGTCCAAGCTCTTCTTGCTGCACAGCTGGCTGACCTCTGATGGAGGCAGGTAGAGGGCTGCCGTAAAGAGGGCGAGGCGTTGGCTCTCACATTACATTTACATTTGGAAGATGCTTTTGTCCACAGTGACGTATAAGTGATGCAGATAATAAATCACAGCTGTCAAGGATCCAAGTTTGGCACGAGAGCTGTTAGGCTGAGCATCTGATGAGTGACCCGTAAGAAGTGCTAATTAGCACTTGAGCAAGGCACATGCGTCACATTCCATTATGGTTGACCGTCATGTGTGCTCCAGTCACAAGGATCTTTGCGAACATACAGTACACTTACACTTCCCAGCTTCCTCATGCCGCAAAGACTAACCCCTGGAAGGTCGTCCTTCAGTACCTGTGAAACAAGGGGTGTGAGCAGCTGTGGATGCCAACGCAGTGTGTTGTCTTTAGCGGGCTGCCGGATTCACACCCCTTGGCGTCTGTTACATACACCTTGTATCATCAGCAACTGGAGTGTTTTCACCCCTGTTTTTTGATGACCAGCTGGTTTGCGATCTACCTCGGTGCTTAATTGTTCGGCTAAACCAGTTAAAACCCTAAGAAAGTCAAGCCTTTCCGCTGGTATTCCAGTTCCCTTGGTGGTTTCAAGATTGCTGAAAACCTACATTCGCTACAGGCACCAAGAACTGGAACTGAAGGTGTGATGCTTTATTTGCTTTTTCCAGTTTAATTGCATGTAAACGAGGGTGAGTGTTTGTTGTTATTCTGAATGCTGCTTTATGCTGGTAAGGAGCATTCCATAGTTCCATGGTCTTACTGGGGATAATCGAACCTGCAGCTGGAGCTGGATGCCTTGCCATCATGGAACGTTCACCTTTCATGTGGTATTAAAACACTAAACAGTGTCTCTATGAAAGCAAGCTGCAGATCCGAATTTAGCAGCTGGATCCGTTTAATGACTTGTCGTGAATGGCCGGATTCTATTCCCCCATTCTTGCGCAACTTGCTCTTGTAAATATCAGCATAATAAGTTCTGCAATGTGAGATTCTTTTGTTTCCTTAAGATTTAGGTCATTCTCTTCACTATATTGTTAATATTGTGATATTTGCGCTCTCATTCTATTAACAGAGCAATACTCATTGGTAGGATAAAACCACATTAAGCCAGAGAAGAGTACAACAGTATCTAGATGCTTTGATGAGCCGTGTACGTTCAGGAATGGTTATCGTGGTATAACAACACTGAGAGCAGTGCCAGCTGCTTCTTCCGACTGCCATGCCACCTGGAAGCATAATACAGACACTGCAGTCAGTTTTTTTTAAAAGCAGACTTATGAAGAGCCCTAGTCTTCTCTTCGTATTACATGGATGGCCTGATTTCATTGTCATTGCTGCTCTAACCACCGCCTTCCTGTGTGTGGCCCTATCTGTCGCGTCGCGCACGGGTCCTGTGTGTGGCCCTATCTGTCGCGTCTCGCACGGGTCCTGTGTGTGGCCCTATCTGTCGCGTCTCGCACGGGTAGTGTGCATTCCTGCTGAAAGAGGCCTGTCTGTCCCATATGTGTGCAGCTGTGCCTGTCTGTGGTGGCGGCCAGGCCAATTAATACATCATAACTGAAGGCGGCGGGCCGTAAACAGACGGGCTCTGAGTCACCGTGACCGAGGACTGTGGATTCTCCTTTTGGTCAAAGATGTGATCCATTTTCCAATTGGCCGCCTGTCACGTTTCGGGGTAGAGTTCCTGTCTTTCATTTTTAGCCCCCTAATATATGAAATGTGTATCTGAGGTGAATCCAATATCGAGGCCTGACCAGCTGCACCCCCTATCTTGACTTGCGGGTGTTGCTTTAATGGTGCTGATGGGGCTGCAGGGCTGCCTGCCCACGAGCTGCAGGTATGGCAGCTATAACAAGAGCTGCGAAGGGACTTTGAGGTGGAACAAGCATCAGCAGCATTTCTGACAGGTCCTGGATGTTCCTTTGACTTTGTGGGCACCAGACAAGTGAATCTGACACGCCTGCCTCATTCCTGGGGATAAAGTAAATAAATAAAAGTGTGAATATTTAAAAACTCAGTGATAAGGAGCTAAGAATAAATTCTACACTTTATTTCTTGAAAGGTGAACACCTCTGGAGTTTTAAGCTAGTGGTGTAAAGTTGTCCCCCCCCCCCCCGATTCACAGCTGCTGATAAAAAAAAAAGGACATTTTCGTTTTAATTAGGTGCCCCGTAGTGTGGGATGCCTGACTGTGGCTGAAATATGAGACCATAAGCAGAGTTTTGGTTGGATTTGGTGGTAAATGCTGTTTGAACACCCAAGGGGTGGCGTCGTCCTCGGGTTTGATTAACCGCTCTTAGAAGCCGTGGTTTCTTAATGTATCAAATGCCATTTTGATGCATTGCATCCCGTCTGTGCCACCACCTCCTTCGTCTGTGTCACGTGACCCTGCACTCACTGGCTCTCTGGCCAAAATGAACCATTAATCATTAACCATTAAGGCTTTATATTCACTTGGGGAAGCATGTCGGCATCCGCCTTCACAGTGAGTGCAGGTTGTGAATTGACGTATAAGACGACCACCACCATCGCCGCGAACCTCAGGTCCAGTCAGCATCACATCCTCCTCTTATTGGCCGGTTCGCAGCTCCTGATTGGCTGCAGCGCTGTACCCTCAGTAGATTTTCCTAACAGTCTGTTTTCTTCTCTTCCTCAGGAAAGAACTGGAAGCCTTTAAAGGTAGGACGTCTCTTTAAATATTTCCTCCACGCTTGAAATAACAATGTATCGCCTGACTTGTGCATTTCCTTTCTGAAATGTATAGAATCTGCACTGGAATTGTCTTGAGATTTAAAAAGTCAAGCAGTTAATTCTTATTCAGTTGGATCGTATTGTAACACACATTTCGGAAGGTTCCTAGGTATGAACGCCATGGTAATGAGTTTCTTTTTTTTTTTACGGCTTGTGTAGCTGGGCAGCAGGTTGTCACGGTAGCAGCAGGTAATGTAGGACACGCCTGACATCAGTTCCCAAAGATTCTGTTAGCAAAGTGATGGGATGATTTTTCTGATTCTGATTAACAGAGTTGGGGTGGTGACCAGTACCTATGCTGGATGGCTTTTGATTGTGTTGGATCAGAATATCCAGACCTGGTACACACTTTGTCGCTTGATTATTAACCATGTGAGAACTTCAGAAGCTCTCCTCTGAATGAAGTTCACGCTGGTATTAGCCTGGTGTAATTATTGTTCGACACTCTCGGGGTGGATATGTGCATAGGGGGAAGGGGGTGCTCTGTTTTGGATCCCTTCACATCCTGTCCTGCTTTTGATGGATTGCCCTTCTTCTTGAGTTTTGCCTTCGACTTCGTTAACCACTTATGGGGCTGTTTAGCGAGGTCATTTTAATAAATTGGCCGTTTAGGTCTCATAGCGCCAAGCAGACCTTTATTAACCCGGCGACGCTTCGGTGGAGCAGCCCACAGACTGACAAACCCCCCCCCCAACCTTATTAGCATGCAGATGGTAATGTGGCGATAACGACCTCCTTCTGCAGTATCAGAACTCACCCCAGGAGCATGTAGAGCCTGTCCAATGTGTTCAGTGTACACACTTTTTAAGGTTGAACAAACCTCTTTGTCCTGTGTGAATAGAGTTCCTATTTGTCATGGGGAGTTGTCTCTGCTAGGTGCGCTGAGGTGACGCGCGTGTGTCAGATGGATAAACATCTTAATAAAGGAAAACCTGGACCTCAGCGGCTCTCCAGCGCTTTCCCTGCCCGCCAGTTCCTGCTCATCCGAGCACGTGGGGGTGTGAACCACAAGTTAAGACACTTGGGCATCTGCAGCCAGCCTGCCCTGGGTGTGCTGACCCCTGCTGGGTAACGGTGAATAATAACGGGCCGCGTGACAGCGGCTGCTCTGCGCAACCGTCGCTGGGATGCAGACGCCCCCTAGCGTCTCATGGAGGCGGGGGCCACGTCCTGCGGTTCAGTTGTTGCTGAGCTGTGAAACGGGGCTGAAGACTTTGCTCGAGTGTCCTTAGTAACTCTACATAGCACAGCAAAAATATAATAGTTTACTTAATAAAAATAACTGAGAGTTTATTAACCCCCACTTGCTCCAAGCGTTGTCTGACCCTGCAGTCTCAAGAAAAAAAATACTGTATGTCGCTTTGGATCAAAGTGTCTCGTAGATTAATAAGTATATTCGTCTTTTAGGGGGTGGGGGTGGGCTGAAGGTGCAAGCATATTTTTATTTTATTTTTTTTAACTTTTCGGAGCAGGAAGCTATGAATTTTCCAGGCTGCAGCTCACCCGGGGGAGGCTATCTCCTTCTGAAATGGTGTCCTGCTGATATGTGAGCTTCAGTGCCCCCCCCCCCTGCTTTTCAGAGAATGCTGTTTAACTCCATGCCAATTTTGCTTTCACAAATGGCACGGAGGGGCGGCTTGAAAGCCAGAAAATAACAGGCTGTTTAGTAGGGAACCCGGGAGCGAGGTGGAAGCGGGGAGGATCTGTCACGTCGTGTCACTCAGACGGGGAGCCGTGTTCAGTGGCTTTTGCTCCTGGGCTGCTCTCACAGTTCATTTATTTTTCGCATGTCAATCGGCAGACATTCCTGAAGTGGTGACGATTTTATGGATTTTTCACATCGGTTCTATGATGAGAGGTTGCTAAAGCGTGGAAAACTACATCAGAACTGTTTTACTTTTCTGGGTCAGGAGAGCAATGGAGGCAGGCAGATGTGTGCGTACGCTGTGGTGTTACTCCACTTCATACAGTAATATTTTGCAGTAGTTTGCCGTCTTTGCTGACGGGATTTGTGCTGCTGTCCATGCTCAGATGAGCTTAATCCTCTGATTATTTACACTGACTGTAAGCTGCTTTGGACAGAAGTGTCTGCTAAATGTATAAAATCAGTGTTCACAGTAGGATCGTGTTCCTCTTCCCCTTTCAGGGGATGTTCTGCTCTGTGTTTTATAAATGCGCTTCATCGAGGGGGTTGCCTGTTGCCGATCCATTCCACAGGTCAAACAGAGGTCATTCCCTCACAGGGTATCGTCAAAGTATCACGCAGAAATACCACAGCGTTGGGCATGTTAGGTCGTATCGGGAGTTTTTCTACCAGGCAGCTCCGGGCTCCTGTTTTTGTGGTGCTGCAGTTTCCATTTGTCCCTGTGAGCACACGCTTGTACGGATCGGGCTCCGACCTGCTTGCCTGTCTGCCCCTCCCCCCATCCCCGTCACTGCCCCCCCCCCCCTCTGGAAGCATGAGCAGCGTACAGCTGGACACTTCCTTTTCCACGCAGTCCATCGCTCCCGTCTGCTCTCGCTCCTCGTGGAATCTCCCTGCCAGCATCTGTGGACAGTGGCACCCCCCCATCGCTGTAGGTTCCCCGTTTTGCTCCCCAATGGTGCTTTAGGGACTCTGCCTGATCCTTGCATGCTGTTCCTTTGGTTGATGATTTGAGCTTCTGTGTGTGTTCTTGTCTGTCTTTTCAGATCAGCTCTGAACTTAACCGTGGAATAAGATTTAGCGTCTTTAATTTTGTTGTTCGGTTTCCCTCCTGTGGTTTTTGACTTTCTTTTCTCTGCCTTCTTTTCTTCTCCTTCCCCCTGGGTTTAATTATGTTTTGTGTACCTTTTATAACTTTCCTTGTAGAAGCACTCCCAGCGTGTTGTGCCTGCAGGGTTTCTGAGGAATCCGAGCTGCCCGTGCTCCTTGTACGCTGAGCGGAGCACAGGTGTACATGCTGCTTGTGCCTCTGGCTACCATGTAGTGCCCCACGCTGTGTCCAGTCACATGCCGTTCTGTGGAGCACTGTTTAGATAGGCCAAAGGCTATGTTGGCAAATGCGCAGATTTAACGTGTTAAATTTGGAATTGCTGTAGTTAGCCATGAGTAAAATGTGTATTTTCTTATACGACTGAATGATATCCAGACACGGTTTATGCTTCTCATGGACCTCAAATGAATTTAATCAGGCTTGAGGTGGCGAAGCAGATCTTGGGCAGATTTGAGCGCTGGTGACTAATAGGTTGTCGTGATTGGTTCCGACTTGTCACCGCAGTAATTCAGAGAGCGTTTTGATGCTGAGAGTCAGTAAAAACTCTGATTGATGCTTTATCAGTTGCCGTCATCTCGACTATCTCCATTCGCCTCCTTGTCATTTGATCTGCCAGTGAGGCCCCCAGGGCACCAGCCCCGTCCTTCAGCAGGTGCGTGAGTCATTTCCTTTAGGCTGAGCCGTCGGTGTCGTTGACCTAGGCTTTGTGATGGCGTTGGAGTGGTTAGCTGCTAGCTTAAAGCCATCTGGAGAATTAGATGTGTCTGCTCTGATGTCATCCTGCACTTATCTCCCTCCTACTGGATGACCGACTCCTAGACAATGTAAATTAGTGTGTGTGTGTGTGTGTGTGTGTGTGTGTGTGTGTCCTTTGGTGGCCTGGCAACCCTTCCAGGGTGTCCTCCTGCCATGTGCTGCCCGCAGTAGAATCCAGGCTCACCTTAACCCTGTTCTCTATTAAGCGGTTATGGGATGGATGGATAGATGCTGTTAAGCGATGAATAGATTAAACTGGCCCAACTTTTCCCATCATCCAGCAGGTAAACTGCAACCCAGCCTACTTCCTGTTTTCTTTATTCAGAAATCAGCTTTATTCCTATAAGTAGCAAACTGGTCCAAGCTTCAGCTGCTGGGTTTTGTCTGTATTTTTCCTTTTCCAGCAAGTCACTCTCTCACTCCATTTTTGGAGTTTGAACAAGCCGATGCGAAGGATCGTTTTTGGAGGGAACGGGAGATGATGCAGTTTTATTCCTGCTATGAGATGTTTGGTTTATCCGTCAGCTGGTGCCTTATCCAGGATCCGTCGCTGTGTTTTGCGGTTCTTGCGTCCTTCTGGGCCCCTGGCAGCTCCTCCATGCATCCTTGCCGTCACACCATGACAGGTGCTCGTTTGCTTATTGCTGTCAGTCACCCATCAGCCCGCCTCTTTAAGTGAGGCTACCTGTTGCGTGAAGAGCTCCCTCCTGTTTCCGGCACCCCCTGCTTCCTAAGCGCCCGTTTACATCCCGGGTCCCGGATTCCCGCCTGGAGCGGCTCCTTTCTACGTGACACCCGCCCATCTGCTTTGCTCGCAGAGAAATGTGAACGATTATCTCTGATTTGTGTACGTGTGATACACAGAGCGAGACCGTGCTGAAATGAGAACCACAGCTGCTTCCTGGGGAAGAGTGCAGCTTTCAGTGGTGACGAGCCCTCCTGAAGCTGTAGACCACTGGTGCCGAACCACTTGATTATGACATTTATAGTTGACAGACATTTGTAGTTGGACATCCATTACCCTCCCAAATATGCTGAGGAGGACTCCGTGTCCTTTCTCACCACCCAGTTGGTGAGATATACAATTTGTTTTAGTGAAAGTAGCTCTTACTGTAAAACAGGTTCGGCACCACTTCGGTAGAGAGACTTCAGTGTAAACGTCTGTCTGTCTATCTATCTCTCTGTATGGGCTGTACATGTATTTGTTGTATACTGTTTGGTACATCATTTTCAGTTCGGTACGCTCAGTGAAATTAATAAATACATTTATTGACATGGGTGGAACCTCAATTTACAACTAGATGTTCAACACAGAAAGCATTATGCTAATTGTGGCTCTTGTACACCAAACGTTGCCGAACACCCTTCCAACGTGCAGACTCGTTTGAGATGGTCAGCTGAGTGTGTCCGACCGGAGCAGGACAGACTCTGCCTCTGCATGTTAGTCTTCCCATGGCATCTAAGGCGCTTATGGCAGGAAATTCAGTCCAGGCTGTAATTCAGACCTCTGTAGGGGTGTTTATCGCTGCAGATGTGCAGTCATACTCAACAATACAGAACACGGCATTTAGATGGCATTTAGTTCATTATGATGTTATGTTTTTGGATAATTTGTTTTTCATATTTATGTTTACAGTATGCAATTAAAGCTTTGTTAGGTTTTGTTAGTCATAAATA